TCCTCTAGTCAATTGTCAAGCCCAAGCCCCCTACTCGGTGGCCAATGGTCCAGTTCACTTCCCCCTCCACCACAGACAATGGTCCCGCTGTTCTCCCCCAGTCAGTGGTCTCTGCGCTTACCCCGGGTCTGGGTCGCCAGGCGCCTGCCAGCTGTTGCCGAAGTCAGTGGCGTTGGCGGCTGGGTGCCCACTGGGCAGGGCAAGGTCATCCTGGCTCTGATTGTTGTAGTTCCCGCACATACCACACACCTGGGAGAGGGTTCAGAGGTCAGAGTCACCTAAAGGTCAAGGGTCAGCCGCACCCTCCCACAGATTTGGGTCATGGGGCGGTGGGAGGAATCAGGAAGGAGTCTGGTCAATGGGGGCATGAACAGGATCTCGGGGTGTGGCCAAGGTGTGGTCAGACCCTGGGGTGTGGTCAGACAGGGTTCCCACCCGAGGCAGACATGACTAGGCAGGGGTGGAGCCATGAAGGGGTCCTGCTAATGGGGACAGAGCCAAACCCAGGGGGGTGGAGCCACGCTCACCTGGCTAAAGTAGGCGCCGGAGAGCTGGATCTCCAGGTGCTGATTGCCATCAAAGCGGACGAGCAGCCCGGCCTGGCTGCGCAGCTCCGTGTAGATGCCACTCGTGCTGATGGAGACACCGGGAACCCAGCCAAGCACTGGGGTGCTCACCCGCTCCCCATCCACCTGCAGGACAGCCTCAATCAGGGCTGACAAAATCCCACCCCAAAACGAGCCCCTCGCTTCCCTCCCTCACATAGCCAGGATGCCACTCCCTTGCCTGCTCCCATTCCCCCATGGCCCCTCTGCCCCATCTCACCAGCACCCGCCGGTTCTTCATGAGAGTGAAGCGTGTGCCACCAAGCTCCACATGCACCAGGCGCAGGTAGGAGGCCTTAGACTGGCCCCGCTCCTCGTTCTTCCCAGTGATGTTGAAGGGCTGCAAGCGCCCGTCCCTGCTGCACAGGCTCACCAGAGTATAGGTGCAGGTGCCCTGGAATGTCACCATGGCCCCGTCAAAGGTGAAGTAGTGCGGGTCCCCAGCCACATGGCAGGAAGCCACACCTGGGAGAGATGAAACCCGGGATGAGAGAGACACATACTGCTGGTGATGAGAAGTGCCCAATTCTGGGGCAGAGTGGCTGGTTACCCACTTTGCCCAGCGCTGGGATACAGCCACTTCTGGGGTGGGGTGGAGCCTACCTGTGTCCTGACAGCCCAGCAGGCCGTCCTCCGGCTGACACTGCTGCACAGGGCTGCAGCTCCATGGCTCACAGCTGATGTTGTTGGAGCTCATGCAGGTGCAGCGCTCGGTGCAGTGGTCATTTGCCATCCAGCTCTCACCCACCTGGGGGAGTGGGAAACCTGATGAGCTGCCAGGGAGAGAACCCAGGAGTCCTGGCTCCCAACCCCCCTGCTCTAATCCACCAGCCCCCCCGGCCACTTGCCTCCCAGGAGTCCTGGCTCCCAGCCCGTCTGCTCTAATCCATCAGCTCCCACTCGCCTCCCAGGAGTCCTGGTTCCCAGCCCCTGTGCTCTAATTCATCAGCTCCCACTCGCCTCCCAGGAGTCCTGGCTCCCAGCCCTACAGCTCTAACCACTCCCCTGCCTCACCAGGTGGTATCGCCCATCACTGGCAGTGCATCCACATTGGCTCAGGGGGACGCACATGTCCCCACTGAGAATGTATCCTTCATTGCAGGCACAGGCTTCCACGCAGGGCAGGGAGAGGCAGCTGTTGGGGGCCCCTAGATCTGTGCAGCTGGATGGGCAGGGGCTGGCACAGGGGGTGTAGGTGCTGCCTGGGGGGCAGTTCAAGGCTGTGGGAAAGACGAGACCAGGAGGTGAGACACATCCATCTTGCCCAATGCTGATATGTGCCCAGCTCTGGGTTGGGACACCTCGCCTGGCACTAACATGCAGCCACCTCTGAGATGGGGCGGCTATTTACATAGGGATCCCTCACCCGGCCTGGGATATAGCCAGAATTCTCCTGTTAGCCGTGTTCATATAGAGCCACAAAGCTTTAGGTCTGAGAATTTCCCTACTTTTTACTCTAAAAATTAAACCTCAGAGTCCTGGTTCCCAGCCCCCCCTGCTCTAACGCACCAGCCCCCACACCCCACCCAGGCATCCAGGCAGTGCTTACGGCACAAGGTACTGTTCCTCCATGCAATGGGGATCCCGGCCTGGGCACAGCCATCAGCATAGGACTGCAGGGCATAGCAGAGCGTGGTTGTTTCGCCCCTCGTGCCACACAGATCATAGTGGCAGGTCCTGAAGGAGTCCGCAGGGGGCACAGCTCCATGGCAGGGAGCAAAGGGGCCTGAAATATAGAAAGTCAGATGGGATGTGAGCATGGTGTGATGGAGTGGGGGAGTCATGGGGTGCTTGAAGGAGTTGTCTGCAGCACTCACTGTCTCTGGGTGTTACTGGTTTAATGAGGGGAGGGGAAAGGGAGTTTGTCTCAGGGACCAGCATGGAACTGGGGACTCTGACAAGTGTCGTGGAGAATGGAACCCCCAGCGACTGGTGACCAGGAGACCCAGAGGAGATAGCACAGCCAGTTCCAGCCAGTGGGAGGACAAGGGGCTGTGGGGAGAGGACCCCAGGGACCTGCCCATCTGGTATCATTTTTGTATTTGAAGTTCTAAGAACTGGCTCTGTCCTCGCATTTGAAATATTTGCTCCTGGGAGTTATCAACAGGCATCACCCAGCCTTTGTGTAAGGGTGGCTAGTCAGTGACAATGGGCCTTGGCTGGTGCCGATCCACAGCTGAGGAGCTTCCCTGTGATGGTTCAGACCAGCCCGTGAGCGATGGCTGCTCAGGCCTGAGTCAGGCATGGACAGTGACTGGTCACGTGACAAACGCCATTGCGGGAGGCTCTTTCACAGCAGGCGAGCAGTGGGATTCCCTCCACGTGGGCAAGGGTAGAACGAGGGCCCTGGGGGCTCCTTCATCTTGTCTTCACTCCAGCTCATCCCTTCAGGGGCAGCTTTGCTATGAGCCCCAAAGGACTGATGACCCACCCTAGCAAAGGACGTATTCAAGGGACACAAGACAGCAGTTTATTCCATCTCTGCTGCAGGCCTCACCAGGAACTTTACTATTGGGGTACGTAATATAACTTCTTTAACAATTTTATTCTCAACCTTTTCTTTCTTTTATGAACAAGCCTTTAGCTGTTAGATTCTAAAGGATTGGGGCAGCATGCTCCTTTGGGTGGGATCTGACATATAAATTGACCTGGGAAAGTGGCTGATTCCTTGAGATAAGAAGAACCTATTAGGGTTTGGTGAGATTGGTTTTCATAACCTCCCATCTGAATAAGGAGAGGTACTGCTTGTGGCACAGGAGACGCTGGAGTGTCTAAGGGGGTTGCCTATGTGACTTCTTGCTGGCCTGTGTGGTGAACTGAAATGCATTTTGTGTCTGGTTTGGTGTCTTATAATGAATGGAGGACCCCCAGTCTTGGTCTGTAAGTCGCCCTGTTTCTAAGCAATTCTCTCTGGTTTGACCTTCTCAGTGGTGCCCCCAGAACCTGTTATATTACAGTGGTGCAGTTGTGCTTGGATCCACAGAGCTAGGTCAATTAAGCTTTGGATCAGAACTCCACACTATTCCAAATTTGAATTTTGGGATTGTGAGTTTTGTTGGTTAAAAATCACTTGCAATGAGTCAGCAACAATATGAGGATCTTGACAAAAAGGACCTGGAAGATTTTTGCTCACGGAAGAGAATCTCCTTTTGGGAGAAAGCCACAAATCAAGAATGCGGATCCTTGCACATGGACAGCAACCAGCAGACAGTGAAGGAACTGTAGCTGGAGCATGAACAAAAGCTTTAAGACATTAGTTTAAAGGAAAAAGAAAAGGTACATAAGAACATAAGAACAGTCATACTGGTCAGACCAAAGGTCCATCTAGCCCAGTATCCTGTTTTCTGACAGTGACCAACCCCAGGTGCCCCAGAAGGAATGAACAGAGCAAGGAATCATTAAGTGATCCCTCCCCTGTTACCCATTTCCAGCTTCTGACAAACAGAGACTAGGGACACATCCCTGCCCAGCCTGGCTAATAGCCATTGAGGGACCTAACCTTTGTGAAATCTATCTAGTTCTTTTTAAAACCCTGTTAAAGTCCTGATCTTCACAATCTCCTCTGGCAAGGAGTTCCACGAGTTGACTGTGTGCTGTTTGAAGAAAAATGTCCTTTTGTTTGTTTCAGACCTGCTACCTATTAATTTCATTTGGTGACTCCTAATTTTTAAGGTAGTTAAATTGGAGAGAGAAACTGCTAAAAGAAAAGGGGAAGATGCTGAAAGAAAGAGGCCCCTGCAAGGCAAATGGAACTACTGTCTGCTGAAGAGAAAGCCAGACAAGTTGCAGAGACGGCTGACCAACTTCAGCTATGAGGAGCTGCAGTAGCTGCAATGCCCTGGAAGTCCACCCCTTCTGGACAGCAGAAGCTGGGAAAGGCTGTGTCCTATTTACAAGGTTACTGAGGATATAGAGGAATTTTGGTCTACCAGTGAATGTCTATGCAATGTGAGCCGAATCCCAGATGACCAGCAGATGCCTGTTCTGATGACCAGATTGACTAGAAAAGCCAGGGAGGTATTTAATTAATTGGGGGGACAAGAAGCTTTAGACTAAGTATGTCTTAAGGATTCTGTATTGAGGCAGTTTAAGGTCACCTCTGAATCTCACAGGATTCAATTTCGGAAGTTTAGACTGTCTAGTGAATGCGCTTATGTGGAGTGTGCTCATAAACTGATGGGTTTTGTTAAAAAGTGGGATGGGGGGGGAGCAAATTGGCATTTTGAAAAACTGATGGATTTGATAACTTTGGAGCAATTGTTGGGTACTGTTCCTGACCATGTTAGAGCAGCTGTTTGTGGACAGAGAGCCTGTGTCGGTCCTACGGGCTGCAGAGTTTGCAGATGCACACACCCAAACCAGGGCTCCAGAAGGGTTTAACCCCCCTAGTAAGAGTAATACTATTCTTCTCAATCTAGAAGAAGAGAAGAGTTTAAAGGTGGGACTGGCCCCACTGCCATTAGAAAAGCTCATGAGCAAAAAAACTCCTACTCTAAGAGAAGACAAGTGGTTGTGTCGTTTGTGTGGGATACCTGGACACATCAAACCAGAGGGTCCAAATCTAACAAATAAGTCACCAAACCCAATAAATGCTAATCCTGCTCCTCTAAACATACAGACAAGTCCCACAGAGCCCAGCATGGGGGCCCTGTGTGCAAATGCTGTTTCTGTTGTCTCTCAAGGGCTTGACCTTAAAACTAGTATTAGCTAAATATGGGAACAATCATGCAGAGTTCATTAGTAGTGCTGAAGTTAATGGAGCCAAGTGCGAGGCATGGAGAGATACTGCAGCAGAGATTACACTGGTTAAAGCCAGCCTTGTCAAGGAGGAAGATTATCTGCCAGAAGAAAGCCTGACTGTTGTAGCCTTGCCTGAGTATTTTGTAACAGAGCCATTGGCTAGAATCCATCTTACACGGAAGGGATTTGAGGCACCAAGGTTGTGGGAGTGAAAAATACAATTCCTGAGGATCTGCTGATTGAGCTTTGTTCAGTCAAGTTAGTGTCGTGAATGAAGCACAGGAGAGAAATGATCCTGAGCCTTTGTCTAAGGGGCAATAACTGACCCAGGATGGGTTTCTCTAGATGTTTGCCTGAGGAAGACAGCTGGGTGTCTATGCAGGAAAACTGGGTGTCTGTGAATGAAGTTTTTGAATGCCCATCTAATGTCTCAGAAGTGAGGCTGGAATTAGATCAAGCACACAAAGAACTCAGGCCAGGCTGACACTAGACCCGACAGGTCCGTTTATGGCACGCAGCTCCAGGTATACAAAATGTGTAGATGGAGTTGGCTTACTTTCAACTGAGCCATGGCAACTTCCCTTACTCCCTGCAGAAGGAGGAATACCAGAGGCCGGTGAGGGCTGCCCTCCTTGTCTGCAAAGGAAGCTTCTGTCTCCTTGTCTGCAAAGGAAGCTTCTGTCTCCTTGTCTGCAAAGGAAGCTGTCTCAATTTCCAGGTGGATGTCTGAAATCAGCCAGGGTGCTGAGACAAAGCAGAGATTGGCACCAATGGCTTGTTTGTGTGTGGCAGCAGCAGCATGTCTGGGGAGAAAGTTTCTTCCCAGTCCTTTATCTGCAGAAGGTGCCTCTCAGGCAATAGTGGCTGAGGATAATGCAGTTGTCCCAGGGTTGGTTCTGGATACAAATGAAGCCCAGAAGGGAATGGTCCTAAGTTTGTGTCAGCTGGGGAGAATGATGCTGTAACTCAGTTAAATCTAGTTAGCGCCATGTCAGAATCCAGAGAGCCAACAATTCTGGTGCTGGTATTTTGCCTGTTGCTGGCGTGTTGCTGGGAAAGGGTGAAACAACTGTCTGATCCGGGTAGTACCTTAGCCACAGTAGCATAAAGAAACATAAAGGCAATTTAATTGTGGTGCCTACTGACGGTGTGGAAACTTGTAGCAAGGATGAATGGGAAACTGTTGAGCTGGAATTCATATGCAAATTTGACACCCTAAATCAACCATATTGCTTTCATGGCTAAATGCCAAGAGTCCCACACAAGGGAGAACATAGGTATCTACAGTGACTGGATGTTTATTGGATTCCAAACATTTGCCAGAATGTGTATGGATAAATTAACTATTTTCTTTAGCTCTTGGCAAGATCACATAGGACATATGGGAACCATGCTGCAAAAGCAGATAAAATCCTCTAGTGTTCTGACCAAGTTATACTTTGGCTTTGCAAAAGGATTCAGTGATACTGTTATACCATGTTGAATCTTACAATGATGAAGCTCATTTTAGACAAACATGGGTTTCATAAACTGTTCCAGTTAGACACAGATATTTCTAACATTGGATTAGAAGCTATAGTAACACAGAGCCATACATGGGGGCTACGTCTACACTGGCCCCTTTTCCGGAAGGGGCATGTAAATTTCACGAGTCGTCGTAGGGAAATCCGCGGGGGATTTAAATATCCCCCGCGGCATTTAAATAAAAATGTCCGCCGCTTTTTTCCGGCTTTTAAAAAAGCCGGAAAAGAGCGTCTAGACTGGCCCCGATCCTCCGGAAAAAGTGCCCTTTTCCGGAGGCTCTTATTCCTACTTTGAAGTAGGAATAAGAGCCTCCGGAAAAGGGCACTTTTTCCGGAGGATCGGGGCCAGTCTAGACGCTCTTTTCCGGCTTTTTTAAAAGCCGGATAAAAGCGGCGGACATTTTTATTTAAATGCCGCGGGGGATATTTAAATCCCCCGCGGATTTCCCTACGACGACTCGTGAAATTTACATGCCCCTTCCGGAAAAGGGGCCAGTGTAGACGTAGCCGGGAAGGCCCTGTGATGCACTCAGAGATGTTACTTCATCCCTTCCTGCATCAATTTTATATTGGGGGTGCGACATTATTGAATTGTGATATGAACGTGCAAAACATTTGTATATGTTTAGAACTGTTCTATGTTTGCACTAAATCTTGCGTCCTGTGAGGTGTCTGTCGAAAGCTGATGATTCACTGGCTCTGTTTGTGCTGCTCGTGGGCAGGTGTCATTTTTGTATTTGAAGTTCTGAGAACTGGCTCTGTCCTCGCATTCCAAATGTTCGCTCCTGGGAGTTATCAACAGGTGTCGCCCAGCCATTGTGTAAGGGTGGCTAGTCAGCGACTAGCAGCACTTCGCTGGCAATGGGCCTCCAGCGGTGCCGATTCACAGCTGAGGAACTTGGCTGTGACGGTTCAGACCAGCCCATGAGGGATGGCTGCTCAGGCTTGAGTCAGGCATGGACAGTGACTGGTCACATGACAAACACCATTGCGGGAGGCTCTTTCACAGCAGGAGAGCAGTGAGATTCCCTCCCCGTGGGCAAGGGTAGAAAGAAGGCCCTGGGAGCTCCTCCAGCTTTGTCTTCACTCCAGCTCATCCCCTCAGGGGCAGTTTTGCTATGAGCCCCAAAGGACTGATGACCCACCCTAGCAGAGGACGTATTCAAGGGACACAAGACAGCAGTTTATTCCATCTCTGCTGCAGGCCTCACCAGGAACTTTACAATTGGGGTACGTAATATAACTTCTTTAACAATTTTATTCTCAACCTTTTCTTTCTTTTATGAATAACCCTTTAGCTGTTAGATTCTAAAGGACTGGCGCAGCGTGCTCCTTTGGGTGGGATCTGACGTATAAATTGACCTGGAAATGTGACTGGTCCTTTGGGATCAGGGGAACATGTTTGGGGCTGGTCCGATTGGTTTTCATAACCTCTTATCTATGTAGTGTGCTGGTGGTGGCTCAGAAACTGGGTTGCTTGTGTGACTTCTTGCAGGCCAGTGTGGCGAACAGAGGTATGACTGGTTTGGTGCCTTTCAGTGAAGGACCCCCAGTTTTGGGCTGTAAGTAGCCCTGTTTTTAAGCAAGTCACCCTGATTTGACCTCTCCCAGGGGGTCCAAAGGAGTGTTTCCTCTAGTCTTTTCTATCCATGTGCACAATACATTTTGTTATGTGCACCAAGGCACCCAGGAGAATGTGCACCACCAAAGGAAACACAAACTTCTCTGGGTGCTCTGCACTGGAATCTCTCCTGAGCAGCTGCTCAATTGCTCAATTTACAGAGGACAGTGGCTCAGAGCGAGTGGACTTCCCAAGGAGGCCCATGGCAGAGGCAGGCACGCTGGGGCTCAGAAAGCTGCAGTCCCAGGAGGCAGAGGGGTAACCCCCGAGAGAGAGTGGACCCCCAAGAAGGGGCTGTCACATTGAAGGGGGGCCTCCATGACAGTCCCCTCTCCCCTCCCAGAACCAAGAGGGAACCCTGGCATCTGGCCTCCCAGCCCCCCTCCTCCACTCTAATCCACCAGCCCCCACTTCCCTCCCAGAACCAGGGAGGGAACTCAGGAGTCCTGGCTCCCAGCCCTAGAAGACTCACCCTGTGGGTCAGTCAGGGCTCCACAGCTGGTTGGTTTCTGAGCTTCCTTGCTGATCTCTGGGTCACATTCACCCGGGTCCCCAATGTTGGTGCAGCTGGGTGGAGGGAGGAAAATCAGCACCAGTCAAACATCCCCACTTGGGGTCACCCCTTTACACAGACACCTTCCTCGGTGCTGCGGAGAGAGTCCAGGAGTCCTGGTGCCCAGCCGCTACTGCAGGGGTGTTCAAACTTTTTTCAAAGAGGGCCAGATTTGATGAAGTGAACATGCGTGAGGGCCGACCATTTTGCCTGACATTCTTTGAACCATTAAAATTAAATGCAAATTAACTATTTTATGCAAAGTTTATTGCAAACGGCATACTTTTCATTTCGTCACATGGATGACAAATCTAAACAGGTGTTAAATCACTCTGCCTTTCATATCTGAAGGCCAGATGAAAAAAAAAAATCCAGGAAGCTGAAATATATGTCAGGAACATTGTAAAGTACATTACATATTATTGGTAATAAAGGTTGTCTGTCAACTTTTAAGTTCAAAAAATATGAACAGGAACATAACACCAAGTATACATGTTGTGTCCAAATATATTTATAACTGATTTAGACCAACTGACATTAACTGAGATTTTACAATGTATTCATCTCAATACATATGGATTCGTTGGGGGCCATAAAAGATAGATATTGCCAAATTACCTGTGGGGCCGTATTAAACCGGAACACGGGCCGCAATTGGCCCGTGGGCCGGACTTTGGACATGCCTGCGCTACTGCTTTGACCTACAGCCCCCTCCCTCCTCCTAGACAGGCATCCTGGCTCCCAGCCCCCTACTCTCTTCCACTCACCCAGGGCTGCTGGCATCCGGCACCATCCAGCTCTCCCCCAGGCGGTCGACGTTGCTGGCTGAGGTGCCATTAGGCATGAGGTTGTCGTCGGAATTCTGTCCATTGTAGTTGCCTGGAAGGCGAGGTGAGATGGAAGGGTGTCACTGGGGTTGGATCCAGGAGTCCGAGTGGGACAGAGGAGCAGTTGGGGACCCAGGTGTTCAGAAACTAGGCTGGGACATTATTGGACTGTGATACGAACATACTAATTATTGTTGCAACCACTGTTGTATGTTCGCCACAAATCTTGTACAAAGAGGGTCATGTTAGGTGCCTCTGAAAAGCGGATGATTTGCTGGTTCTGGCGATACCATTTGTGGGTGTGTATCAATTTTGTACATAAAGATCTGAACATTAGATCTGTGTCTGTATTTCTGATATCATCTCCTGGAGTAACAGCCACCCAGCAATTCTCCAGCTTGTCTGGGAAAGGCTGCTCCAGCTGATTGGCACGTCAAGAAGTACTTGATGGACAATGGGCCTTGGGAGGCACCACCCACATCTGATGAGCTTTTCTGTGAATGTCCAGACCAGCCCGGGAGACACCAACTGCACTGACTGGACTTTCCTGACAACCTTCAATATGGATTGTGGCTCAGGGTGTCCGCCTGCAAAAACCAGAGTGTTGCATGGACAGGGGACTGGCCCATGTGGCTCCAAGCTCCATCTAGGGAGCCATTTCTCCAAAGTGAGAACAATGGGAATCCCTCCACATGGGCCAAAGATATAAAGGGCCTGGGGATTCCTCCATTTGATCATCAGTCCTTCTTACATCTGGAAGATCTTTGCTACAAACTGAAGCTTTAAACAAAGGACTAGATGACCCATCCCAGCTGTGGAGGTGCTCCAGAGACATGCCAGCAACTTCTTCCATCTCAGCTACAGGCTACATAGCTACAAGAATGTTAAAATTGGTGGGCGTATTTGATTCCTTTATCAATTTTAACCTTCCTTCCTTCCTTCCTTCCATCCATCCATCTATCTATCTAATTCTAAAAAATTGGCACAACATGCTCCTTTGGCTAAGATCTGATGTATAAATTAGTCTGGGAATGTGGCTGCTCCTTTGGGACCAGGAGAACCTGTTTGGATCTAGCAAAATGGGTTTTCATAGCCTCTCACCTGGGTAAGGAGCGGTGCTGGCTGTGGCACAGGGGAAGCTGGAATGCCTAAGGCGGTTGCTTGTGTGACTTCTTGCTGGCCACTGTGGCAAACAGAAGTGTTCTCAGTGACTGGTGTGGTATCTTGGGGTATGTCTACACTACCCCGCTAGTTCGAACTAGCGGGGTAGTGTAGACATACCCCTAGGGTGTGTGAGACTATGTCAAAGCCAATCCCTCCCCTTAAGCCAAGGTCTTAGAGCAGGGATCTGCCACCTCTAAGGAGAGTACCCAAGCCTCACAGCTATCAGGACACCCATCTAGGAGGTGACTATCCCTGAATCCAGTCCCTTTGCTCCAGAGACTCTTAAATTTCCCTGAAGACAAGACCCTAAATCCTGTCACAAAGAAGATTCCAGAAATCCCAGCTACTAAGAAATTCACAGAGGTTTTGGAAATCAGCTGTTGTTGCTAAAATTCCAGAGGGGATTTCTGTGCAGCTGGGAAGTTGGAATTTCACCTAAGAGAGCATAATTCTTCCTTTCCTAGAACACTGACCCCATTAGAGTTCAGTTCTGTTCCTGAAAACTAGAGTCTTGGGCTGGTAGCGGCCCCAAGTGTTAGATTGTAAGTGGCCCTGTCTCCAAGCAATTTGGCCAGGACTGACCGTCACTGCGGTGCCCCCCACTAAGTCTCTCTAGTACACCGAAGACCAGGTGTGTAAGTGGAACAGAGGAGGTTGGGGCCCCAAGCTCAGGGAACCCAACATATGAACAGCACAATGGCACCAGCAGTCCTAGGCGCTCAGGCCGCACTCACCACAGAGCCCACAGAGCTGCCCAGCATAGGATGAGGGCACCTGCACCTCGACTCGCTGTGTCCCATCATAGCGAACTCGCAGCCCGAAGTCTGTCTGCAGCAGGGCATAAGCGCCACTCACTTGTACCCTGAGCTGGCCCTGCGCCAGGGCCACCGGAAGAGTCACCCGTTGTCCGTCCACCTGCAGGAGAGAGGTGGGGTGAAGAGCACTGGCAGGCTGGGTTGGCAGGGACTGTGGGTTAGGAATCAGGGGCACTGGCAGAGCTGGGGAAGCCCAGGGTGGCAGGGGCTGTGGCCCGGGAGTGAGGGGCACCAGCAAATCTGGTGGGGAGCCCAGGGTTGGCCTGGCAGGGACTACGGGGCTGGAGTGAGGGGCATTGGCAGGGCTGGGGTGTGGGGGGTTGTGGGAGCAACAGAGGTCTCACCGTCACTCTGCGTCCCTTTAGCAGTGCCACCCGGTGGCCGTACACCTCCACAGCCACAGCACGAACGTAGGAAACCTGGGCGCTGGCCCCCCGGTGCTCATTAGCAGCCTCCACGGTGAAATTGGGGAGCCCAGACCTCCCATCACACACTCGGCTCAGGATGTAGCTGCAAGTGCCCATGAAGTGCAGGAGTCGCCCATCGAAGGTGGTGTAGTGAGGGTCCCCTGCCACCACACAGCTCCCCCAGCCTGTGGGGAGGCGACGTTAGACACTGCAGCTGCAGCCTCAGGACCCAGAGGAGACTGCAGCTCAGTGCTCGGTGAGGGGCCCGAGGATGGGCATGTTTCTCACCAGTTGGGTGGCAGCCATACTCTCCGTCCTGCAGCTGGCAGCTCTCCTGTGGCTGGCAGTCGACAGCCTGGCAGTGGATGGCATCCTGGCCCTGGCAGGTGCATTTCTCGCTGCAGTCTGCATTGAGCCAGACGTCGCCAAGCTGGGAGGAGAGGTGAGTCATGGGGAGGCCAGGGAAGGGGCTGCCACACCTGTCCTCACCCCCCAGCACTCACCGGGTGGTACCCGCCATTGGGCACCGTGCACCCGCACTGGCTGGCCGGCACACACTTCTGCCCACTCAGCACGAAGCCCGGAAGGCAGTCGCAGCCCTCCACACAGCGCTGGGCCGGGCACTCGATGGGCACGAAAGCCACGCTGCAAGTCTCTGGGCACAGCTGGGCACACAGGGCATAGGAGCTGTTGGCTGGGCACTCCAGAGCTGCAGGGCAGAGAGACAGGTGTGTCTATGGTAGCCAGGATGCCTGGGTTCTGGGAGGGGAGAAGGGTTGGGTTCTAGCTACTCACGGCAAAGTTCAGGGCCCCTCCAGGGGAACACAGTGGCACCCATGGCCTGGCAGGCAGCCGTGTAGGCCTGGAGCTGGGCACAGAGGGACTCCTGCAGCCCCTGGTACTGACACATGTCAAACAGGCAATTCTCAAAATAGGGAGTGGGGGAGATGTGTTTGTGGCAGTCCCTAGGGAGAGGCAGAGAGTCAGCACAGAGCCCCTCGCAGCACGGAACCCCCCAGCACCCCTCCCCTCCAGGCCCCCTAGTATCCTTCCAACTTAGCACAGAGCCCCTTAGCACTCCTCCCCCACAGCAAAGAACATCCCTAGTGCCCCTCCCCACAGCACAGAGACCCCCCCTTTACCTAAATGCCCCCTGGGGGTCTTGAAGCTTTTCACAGCTGGCCTTCATTTCGCTGTCTGGGGTGCAGACTGGCTTGTCTGAGCTGTGGGGTTGGCACCTGGCAGGGGGAAATAACTTCAGCATTTATCACAGCTCCCGGAAGGGCTGGTTTCCTCCTGCCCCTCACGGCTCTCCAGTAAGGCTGTGCCCTCCCTGCCCCGGGGCTTCCTGCTAAGGTGCCAGACTCATGCAGTGGCAGGTAGTTCCACCGACATTCCCACTCTCCTGCACCTCGCCTAGCACCCAGTAGGGGGTAGCAGAGGCTGCGGCTGGATGGGAGGAGCTGGGACTCACTCAGGGTCCTCGTCGTCAGGGGTTTGCCAACTGTTCCCCAGCACATCCCCATCCGTGGCTGGCTGCCCATCTGGCTTCAGGTTGTCGTTGTTGGAGTTTCCATCATAGTTCCCGCAAAGACCACAGAGCAGCCCAGAATAGGAGCTGGAGAGGGGGTGAGATGGCAATGAAGGGACAGGGGCTGTGGGTCAGGAATGAGAGGCACTGGCAGGGCTGGGGGGGCAGGGGCTGCGGGTCAGAAGTGAGGGGCACCAGTAGAGCTGGGGGAGGGGGCCTACCAGCTATACTTACCTGGGGGCTTGGATTTCCAGGTAGTGGTTCCCATCCCAGCGCACAGCCAGCCCGAACAAAGTCTGCACAGCAACGTAGTGACCGCTGTGGGCCACGGATGTGTCCCGAGTGGGCTTGGCCGGCAGCGTCACACGTGTCCCATTGACCTGGGGGGAGATGGATGGGATTTTTCACACCCAGAGCAGGGAGCTCTCATTACCCACCCCAGATCCTGGAGCAGGGTAAAAACTGGGCAACTCCCAGCAAAGAATCTCTCTGGGAGGGGCGATATGTGGGGAGCGGGGCAGGACTGGGTGGGTTTCAGGGGATGATGTTATCTCTGATGAGACCTTACAGATCCCTGTTGCTACCACTGATCTATATTTGCAACAAACCTGATGCAAACGAGGGCAAGTGAGGTGTCGATGAAAAGCTGATGGTTTGCTGGTTCTGATCGTGTCTTTTAGACACATTGTAATACAGGAGGTTTCGGGTGGCACTGCTCAGAGGGTCAAATCAGGGTGAATTGCCTAGAGACAGGGCTACTTACAGCCCAAGAATAGGGGTCCTCTGCTATAAGGCACCTAACCAGTCACAAAGAACATTTCTGTTCCCCACACTGGTTAACAAGAAACCGTACAAGCAATTACCTCAGGCTATGGCTAGGCTACAGGGTTTTTTTGGGGATACCAGAGGTATTCCCAAAAAAACTCCACCATGTCCAGGGAACATGTCTGCTCTTCTGCTTTTTTTTTTGGTGGAAGAGCAGATGCACTCTTTTGGAAGCCCTATCTTCCTCCTCCCATGAGAAAGAACGGCTCTTCCAAAAGAGAATTTTTTTTCCCCAAAATTTGGCCCAGTGTAGACGGGCCAAATTTCAGAAAAGCCTCTTTCAAAAAAATTATTGGAAAAAAGTATGCAAATTGCAGAGTACAATTTGTGTACCTTTTTCCAATAAAGCCCCATAGTGTATACATAGCCTCAGACACTCCACTTCTCTGCTGACACCACCAGCTCTGCTCTGCACAGATGAGAGGTTATGAAAACCCATCTCACCAAATCCAAATTCCAATCCCAAATGACCAGCCACAGTCCCAGGTCAATTTATACCTCAGCTCTCACCCAAAAGAGCACACTGTGGTTTTAGAATCTAACATCTTTTAGAATCTTTTAGACTCTAAAAGAAAAAGAAAGCAATAAAGGTGAGAATTCAAGTTGTTAAAGAAATCAAATATACACACCAATTCAACTGCACAGCTCTTGTTGTGGGCTTGGAGCAGAGCTCATAGCAAATATGCTGCAAAGGTGATGAGCTGGACTGAAGAGAAATGCAGGAGTCCCCAGGCCCTCGTTCTACCCTTGCCCACGTGGCAGGAATCCCATTGCTCACCTCCCGAAATGGCGTTTGTCACGTGAGCCAGTCACTGACCATGCCTGACTCAGGCCTGAGCAGCCATCCCTCATGGGCTGGTCTGAACCTTCACAGCCAAGTTCCTCAGCTGTGGATCGGCACCACTGGATGCCCATTGCCGGCCAAGTGCTGCTAGTCGCTGACTAGCCACCCTTACACAATGGCTGGGCGACGCCTGTTGATAACTCCCAGGAGCGAACATTTGGAATGCGAGGACAGAGCCAGTTCTTAGAACTTCAAATACAAAAATGACACCTGCCCACGAGCAGCACAAACAGAATCAGCAAATCATCAGCTTTTCAGAGACACCTCACAGAGCCCACTTTGTACAAGATTTGGTGCAAACACAGAACAGTGGTGGCACCAGTGGTTTGTACGTTCATCTCACAATCCAATAATGTCACACACGTGTATCACTTTTGTACGTGAAGTTCAGAGTATTGGCTCTGTACTTGCATTTCAGATGTTTGCTTTTGGGGGACTGTAAGGAAGTGGGGCATTTGTGAAGGTTTGAAGGGGTTGCATGTGTAGGGAGCACTCAGTGTCCCCAGCTGTTATTGGTTTAATGAGGGGAGGAGGAGGGAGTTTGTTGTAACAGGGACTAGCACAGAACTGGAGACCCCCAGCTGGTGACTGGGAGACCCAGGACTGGCCAATGGGGCCAATGGGCTGCAAGGAAAGGACCCTGGTGACCTGCCCAGCTGGTCTCAACCAGTGGGGGAGACAAAGGGTGGAGGAGAGGGGAGGTGGACAAGAGAGGACCCAGGTGACCCTGGTTACCTGGGCAGAAGACAGAGGCCAGGGGAGGGGCTGCTGGGGAGGGATTTGGGGGCTGGGCTGGAAGGAGGGGGCTGCTGGGGAGGGATTTGGGGGCTGGGCTGGGAGGAGGGGGCTGCTGGGGGGGGGTGTGGGGGCCGGGGGGGGAGGGGCTGGTGGGGTGGGATTTGGGGGGCTGGGCTGGGAGGAGGGGGCTGCTGGCCTGGGCAGGGGGAGCAGGCAGAGCCCACCTGGCTGCAGGGGAGACTCAGACGTGCTGGGCTGAGGGGGGCCAGGCCTACAGGCCTGAGAGTTCCTGTGCTGGGTTCAGTGCTCAATGAACCCTCCTGTGCCGCTGGCGGAGAGTTGCTCCGGTCTGAGAACAGGGCTGCACTGGCCCCCCTGTGAGTGGAGGCCCCGGGGGCCCAGAGCGAGTGGACTCCCCGAGGGGGCCCACAGCAGAGCCAGGTGCACTGGGGGCTCAAAAAGGGGCTGTCCCAGGAGGCTGAGGGGCTCAACCTCAGGAGAAAGTGTCTGTCTGTCACATCACCGAGGGTTTCCCTATGGACCGTATGGCCCAAGCGTGGGCATGACCTGTGAGTCCTTGACAGAGACAACAAGAGGTTTGGCCAATGTAGTGGGAAGGGACTATTCAGGCTGAGTAGGAGCACTTGATGGACAGTGGACCGGGGGAGGTGCAAATCCACAGTGGGTGAGCTTTTCTGTGTTTGCCTGCAAAGAACAGGCAGGTGCTTTGCCCATGTGTCTCCAGACTCAATCTTGTCACTGTAATTTTCCACAGAAAGGGCCACGGGAGTCCTTCCGCATGGCTGAAGCTATAAAAGGCCGTGGGAACTCCTCCAGCTGACCTCCTCCTTTCTCCGTCTCTAGGGTCACACCAATGGGCACATCCTAACCAAGGGACTTTCCAGTGATTTGGAAGTGACCAGAGACATGACTTGAACCAGCAGTTTTATTCCATTGCTGCTGCCAGCAAAAGCCAAGGAATTCTGTCCCGGGTGGGAGAGCTATGGCCTGCAGGCCAGATCTGGCCCCTGGCATACATGCATGCAGCCCATGGGCCAGATCCGGCCCCCGGCTTACTTGGAGTTGGCCCATGGCAAAGCTCAGGGTTTTCCCTGGCAGCAGGGTGAACCAGTGCTCATGCTGGGGGAAGCCCTAAGCTTGTTGGGGACCAGGTCAGTGAATTCTGGTTTGTTGCTTCTCACTTGTGTATGGCCCCGACTGATTTTTCTGTGGGTCAGTGACCTCCAACCCCAAAAAGGTTCCCCACCCCTGCACCGTTTGACATGCACCTCTATTTCTCTTTTACGAATAAAGCCTTGGATGTTAGATTCCAAAGGATCGGGCAGCATGATTCTTGGATGAGAGCTAAGGTATAAATTGACCCAGGATGTGACTGATTCTTTGGGGTCAGAAGAAGCTTTTGATTTGGTGAGATGGATTTTCATATCCTCATGTCTGTACAAGGAGTGGTGCTAGTGGTGGCCCAGGAGAACCGGAGTCTCTAAGGAAATTGCTTGTGTAATTTCTTGCTGGCCAGCTGGCTGAGAAGTTCTCATTTGAGAAAGGAGCCCCAGTTTGAGGTGGTAAGTGGCCCAGTTTCTAAGCACTTCGTACTGAAATTGTGCTGATACTCTCAGTACTGATACTCTCAGAAGTGTCCCACCAGAGCCAACCCTGTTACTAGGGGCAGGAAGGGTCAGTGGGTGGGTAGCTGGGGGTGTGGATGGGTGAATGAAGGGAAGGAGGCAGGAAGAGAGGAGGGTATGGGCGGCTGGGAGGCTGGGGGCCAGGAAGGAAGGAAGGGGGGTGAGTAGCTGGTGGGCTGCGGGCTGGTGCTGGTCTCACCAGGACGCGCTTCCCCTTGAGCAGGGTGAGGCTGGTTCCCGGCAGGCTGATGTAGACCTTGCGCAGGTAGGAGATGCCCCGGCGTCCCCGGGCCTCATTCTTGCCCTCCACGCTGAACCAGGGCCCTGGGGGGAGAATAGAGTGAGAGGGGCATCGCTGGCAGAGCTGGCATCTCAGGGCACCCCCTGCATGCTGGGCAAAAGCCTGGCCTTGTAGCAGCCTGGGTTTGGTTCTGAAAACGGTGGCACGTCCCACACGCAGTTCTCACACTTCCCCAGCATTTCCCTGTTGTCTGTGCCCCGCTAATTAATGAACCTGGCAAACGAGGCTGGGGACTTGTTGGCTGGGAGAAGACACTATCTATATGGATCCGATGCTGGGTCCCAGGGCTCTGGCCCGTCTGGGGCCACATGTGACATGAAGCCCCCCAGAGCCAAGTAAGGGGCCCTGTTGAACAGGTTTTTGGGAGACTGGCTGTGTATCCCACTACAGCCACCTGCAGGGATTATGGACTGTCTGTAAGCTTCACCACTCGACTCACATTGCCTTTTCCTGGCTAACAACCTGCTGGGAGAATCCGCCAGCCAGGGCTTTGGCACAAGACCTGGTTCCCCCACTGATCTGGCCCGGATTCTTGGGAAGGTGGGAGCAGCTGGATGGATTTAGGGTCTAAATGCCGGGGGCAGGCAAGTGATCCAGGGGTTTATAACTGGGGTTGTCTGGGTGAAAGTGGGACCAGGTGCCCACCACCTACATCTGTTTCCCACACCCCATCCGGGCCCATACCTGTGTAGTTCCCGCAGGGCCGGGCCAGAGTGTATGTGCAGGTGCCCATGAAGTCGAACCGGTGTCTGTCAAAGGTTTGGTAGTGAGGGTCCCCAGAGACATAGCAGGGGGCGCTGGCTGCAGGAGAAGAGAACAGAGGGGTTGGTCATGGGTGGAAGGAGGGTTGGGGGGCTGGCAAGGAATATGGGGGCTCTGAGATTCTAGGGGAAGCAGTGGGGGGTAGGGTCTCCAATATGTGCAGGTGCCCATGAAGTCGAACCGGTGTCTGTCAAAGGTTTGGTAGTGAGGGTCCCCAGAGACATAGCAGGGGGCGCTGGCTGCAGGAGAAGAGAACAGAGGGGTTGGTCATGGGTGGAAGGAGGGTTGGGGGGCTGGCAAGGAATATGGGGGCTCTGAGATTCTAGGGGAAGCAGTGGGGGGTAGGGTCTCCAATCTGCTCCTGGCTCTGACCATGAACCGCCCCCAATGCTTATGCTAATGAAGCCCGGGAAATTCAAATCCCGGGCTTCATTAGCAAGTGCGGTATGCATACATTACCCTCCTAGTTCGAACTAGGAGGGTAGTGTAGACATACCCTGGGAGTGGGAGGCAGCAGTGGGTATGTGGGAGAGGGGAAATGTGGGTAAGGGATGACTTGGAGGGGGGAAGGGATGTTACCTGTGGGGTGGCAGCCATACTGGCCATTGTGGAGGCCACAGGTCTCTGTGAGGTGGCACTGCCAGGCCTGACATTGAGTCCGGTTTCCCCCTTCGCAGCGACACCGCGACCCACAGCCCAGACTAAAAACCTCCTCGCCTGGCTGTGGGGGGAGGGAGAAGGGGTGAGTAGTCAGACATCCCCCCAAGATCCCATCCAGAGCTGCTTCCCCACCCCTGCCAGAGCCTCTCCCCCACCCACCACCCCACTCCACCACCGGTGACTTCTGAGTCCCTCCCTGCCTCTGAGCACCCCCTTACCTGGTAGTACCTGCCCCTGTAGCTGCAGCCACAGCCCCGCTGGGGGACACAGCTGCCTCCGCTGAGAAGAAAGCCTGGATCACACTGACACCCCTCCAGGCAGGGCCCCTGGCAGCCCATCACCCCAGCCTCGGGGCAGGCAGGGGGGCAGGCCGGC